GGGGGGGGGGGGGGGTGTTTGGATTTTCAAGTGAGCTCCATATATGATATATATTGGGAGTGACAACTCGAGTCAGTTCCAGTCCTTTTTTCTGCGCAGAAATTTCGTATTTTGATCTCGATCTGATAACTTGTTGACGGATACGATCCGTTGGAATTAGTTGGGGGGAAATTAAATGGTATTAGAACTGTTTACGGCCTTTTCCGTCTTTCATAGATATTGGACGTCAAATTTTGGCCATGTTGATTCGCTTTTCTCATAGTGAGTGACCGGAGTTCTTGCTTCAGATTTTTTAAAGAGCTCATTGGGATTTTCCCAGTCACGCTGATTTTTTCAAGAATTGGTCTGAACCTAAGCTCCAGCTTGAATGTATTTCAACTCACAAATCGCTCCCATCTCATCACAGAAATATATCTACACCGCATCATACACGGGTTGGGGCACCTTGAGATTATGGAGGTTCAGATTTGACTTCTACTACCGCTACCACGCACTACCACTCATTGGCTCAGTACGCACCTGATTGGTTAATCGGATATATCAAAGGCACCTGATTGGTTAATCGGATATATCAAACGCACCTGATTGGTTAATCGGATATATCAAAGGAAATTCGTTCTATATTCGTAAAATATGATATAGCCTACTAACTGAATATTCTTCTGGTTCGCTATACTTTTTAAAATTTGGGCAATGTTTATATCTGGGGGTCCCCGTTTGTTACGAGCAGAACTGATGCGCAGAACGGAGTGGACATCATCTTTAAACCTTAAACTCTACTGAGCGCGCAAAGCTTAATGGAAACACATATTTCAAGCTCAGTAGTTGAATATTGCAGCTATTTGTGAATGAATTGTTCCCATAAGGAGATATTTACCACGTCTCTAAGAAATTTACCCAAAATATGATTTCTAAACTGATCAAATGATGCTTAGCAAGCTTAGAGTTTAAGGTTTGCAAAGGACAACCTTCCTTGAATTGGCTATAAACGATTATAAACATTTGAGCAATACGAGCAATTAGCAAATATAAGAAAAGGTAACCGCGGCAATAATCTTCTTCTTGTTTAGGTAAAAGCATCGCTTAGAGCACAATTTTGGAGGCTAGGAAAAAATAAGCTGGAATCACCAGGACCATGCTACTACAACTAAGTGTAGCCGATACCTTGCTATATGCCGAAACGAGAAAATTTTCTAGTATATGCTTCTTTTCTGCCCGTGGAAATTTTCTTGAGTAGAAATGGGCCTTTATAATATGTGTACTTGGACACTCAGTTAAGAGAGTTTCTCGCTACTCAAACTAGTCATTGGTAAAGTGGAACTAGCGCTGGCAGTATTACAGCAAGTAAAACATCCGAAGCAAACCCTTAATACTGTAATCACAATACTGACAATGAATAATGCACCACCAATTCCTGCTCCGTATTTCCAAGTATTATCTAGAGGAAATTGAAAACAAATAACTTTAGATTTTGATCTATAAGTAGGTAGGTAGGTAGGTACAGGGGCTAGGAACCGGGGGCACAGGGGGCACGTGCCCCCCACCCCTCAATTTTTTCAAAGGACCAAAAGTGCCCTTTTTTATGATGAAAAGTGCCCTTTTTGTACAAGCTAATGTTGCTGTAAATACTAAATTAACATCAAAGGTGCCCTTTTTGTTTGGAAATTTCAATGTTTTTAAAAACAATTTGGTCAAAAAACGTGCAATTTCGGTATAGTATGACGGGAACATTTTTCTTTCCCCCCTCCCCGTCGCCAACATTTTCGGGAAAAAATTTTTAGGTGCCCTTTTCAATATCCAAAAGTGCCCCTGGTAGCCGGTGCCTCCCCAATCTTTTGATACTTCCTACACCCCTGGGTAGCTAGTCAGCTAGATAGGTACAGTAGGTAGGAAGGTAGGTAGATAGGTAGGTAGGTAGGTAGGTAGGTAGGTAGGTAGGTAGGTAGGTAGGTAGGTAGGTAGGTAGGTAGGTAGGTAGGTGGGTAGGTAGGTAGGTAGGTACGTACGTACGTACGTACGTAGGTATGTTGGTATATAGGTAGGTAGGTATATACAGGTAGACACCAGACATGAACTTACTTGAACTGAAACTATCTGTCTCTCTGTCTGGTCGTTTCTTACAAGTTGGAGGTGTAGCAGAGTAGTTACCATGTGAAGTGCACGTGATCGTTTCAGGACCGTTCAATATCCATTCATAACCACGACAGTCAAACGTTACATGTGTGCCGTCGAATGGCTTGTCAGTATTATAGTAAAAACGGTAAGAATATCCCCACTTTAGGGTGGAGTTTATTTTCAGCTTCTCATCTAAATAAAAATTACGTTGGTTTATTAAGGTGGACACTTAAAGCCTTTTCTTCTTCTGATGGATGTGATTATGAATGCTCTGAGTAGATGTACCCTCATCGGCTCATCTGAACATTCATAACTCGTTACTACAATCCACTGAAATGTGGTTGAAATCAATGGACCAGTGTCAAATAAATGGGGTTATTTTCTTAGACCTGAAAAAAGCATTTGATACGATTGATCACCAGATTCTATTGTCAAAACTACAAGCTTATGGGATACGCGACCACACGCTCAAATGGTTCCAATCGTATTTAGATCAAAGAAAGCAAATTTGCATGCTAAATAACTGTAAATCTGATATTGAAACAATTCGTTGTGGAGTACATCAGGGTTCAAATCTTGGACCTCTATTATTTCTCATTTACATAAACGACCTCCCAAACTGCCTAGAAACAACACATTCTAATTTATTTGCTGATGACACAATTTTATCATGTCAAGGGCATTTATCCATAGATATTGAATACAAACTTAACAAAGACCTAGTAAATGCTCAAAAATGGTTATCAGCGAATAAACTAACATTAAACAACGAAAAACCAAATATATGATTATTGGATCTCGGCAACGATTGAAAAACTTAGATCACGTGCCAAAAATCAGTATAAACGGACATCAAATTGAACGAGTTTATAAAAAGGAAGCTTTGGGTATAGTTATAGACGATAGACTTAGCTGGAATAGGCAAAATGAAGAACAATGCAACAAGATATCAAAAAATATTAATTTTTTAAGAAAAGCCAAAGATTTTGTTGGCCTAGATACGCTCAAAATTATGTATAACGCATTAGTCGCGCCTCATTTTAACTACTGTTCAACTGTTTGGCAAAATAACAACCAAACACACTTAGACAAATTATATAAGCTTCAGAAACGAGCAGCAAGAATAATAACAAATTCGGACTATACTATAAGATCTCCGGACATTTTTCAAAAACTTAGCTGGAAACCTCTTGACTTAGTTTTGAAAAAGCGAGATCTCCTTATGACATTTAAAGCGATTAATGGCATGCTTCCAGAATACGTAACACAACTATTTCACACTTGCGAAAACAATGGTTACGTACTGCGCAGTAGTAATTTAAAGCTGTCTCAACCTAAACCAAAAACGAATTTCTTGAAAAATAGCTTTTCGTACAGAGGAGCAGCGTATTGGAACAACATCCCAGTAAACTTGTTGAAAACCCTAAGAGAGTCAACAAGTTTAAAATCTGTCCATCATCTATTAAATAATTACATCTTGTAAATAAGTAAATAAGTAAATAAGTATATTTTGTAAATAAGTATAATTTAGTTTATTAGTTCCTTCTTTTATAATGCATTTATTTTCCGCACGGCCCTTTGAAAATCACCTATGTGAAAGGTTACCGTGTTTAAAGATCAATAATAATAATAATAATAATAATAACTCATCCACTCGTTCACATCAATCGGAAGAAGAAAATCGCACTTTAAATCGCAGCAAAAATTGCAAGCTAGTGTAAACGGACCTTAAGAACTCGGGTTAATTTTAAGTTTAACATGATTACCTCCGCCATGATATTTTCATTCGCGTTGGTATGTGTGTTTGTGTGTATGTGTGCACGTGCATGTTTGCCTTTCGGCACGATAACTTAGAGAAATACCAAACGTTTAATGCGAAAATTTGTTGGACGGATCATGGGGATTGCCCAGGTACAGTTTGACTAAAATGCGATTAAATTGGATTAGAAATTAACAGGGCAGTGTACCACTTCTTCACTGGCCTCCTCTAATATCAGGGGCGAAACTTGAGGGGGGAGGGAGTGTGTGGCACCACGCCAAAATACGAATCATCCCGATTGGCAGGGCAATCAAAGATTTTAAATGATAGAATGTAGAGTTATTAAGTAACTTGTTACAGCTAGCAAACAATAAGCAGTTCGTATGCATGTACATTGGCATTGGCAGTTCAATTATACAGGTAGCTTAATGATGTATCAGTATTTGGCGCTGCAGGGCATCATTGGTTTTGGCAGGGCAATTCTGCCAGACACCCCCTAATTAAAAGGGGCTAGTTTCGCCCCTGCTCCTCTTCAGCCTTCCTTTTAATAAGCAAATTTCAGAAGGTTTGTGCCCGGTGATAATGCTTCAACATGTAATTGCAGTTCTGCATTATTTAGCAGCCTGTTGAATTTTGCGCAGTTTCGATTCAAGACCATAGCTCTCGATTGACCATGGTGAACATTTGGGGGAAGGAGCGAATTGGGCTTAAAAAATCTTTGGAAAATGAATGCTTTGTAAAATCTTTAAACATAGGAGTTCAGCACTCGGTTTAGTCCATTTAAACCCTGGAATAAAATTATTCAAAAACAATAAAATAAACAGTAAGACTTACCAAGTTTTGGACATATTCTCTTGCACGTCAAAGTAGCGCCTTGTTCCCATTCTCCGTCAAAACGACATTTCCTCGCAACCCATTTACCCACATTATAATTTTGATAGTCTGGATTTAAATAATCTTTATTACAGAAATATTTCGTTGTTCGACCTACAGCAAAAGATAGTGAAACGCATTTAGCATAGGATCCAAAATTCTACTAAAAAATTGTCACCAGTAAACACTAAACATACGACGACGACGATCATAAAGAAACGACAACACAACAACGACATCGTTACAAAGCAACTACAGCAACTACTGCAGCTAGAAACAACTGCAGCTACTGCAGCAACTGCAGCAGAGCAGCAGCAGCAGCAACAACAACAACAACAACAACAACAACAACAACAACAACAACAACAACAACAACAACAACAACAACAACAACAACAACAACAACAACAACAAACAACAACAACGACAACGACAACGACAACGACAACGACAACGACAACGACAACGACAACGACGACAGCGACAGCGACAACGACAAGCAAATAACAACAATAATAAGCCAACCTGGCAATGTCAAATTCCTTTCAGGATGTGTATTTGGCCACTTTAAAGCATCACAATAATTCACTTAATAAAAGGTATGAATACTATGATTAGAAACAACCCTGTTGATCAAAGAAGAGCTGCTTTGCCAGCAATTTTCTAATTTGCACTTACTATTCCAGACAAAATATGACATACCTTGGGTATTCATTGTGTACAGAGCTTTAAACAGGTACGTCCTTTTTGAAACATCAACTTTGCCGGAGTAAAATGTGACAGTTATAATATTACTAGAACCAAAAAACCATGCAGGTACAACCACGGGAGTTCTGCCTTCAAAGTAACCTAGTCTGGCGCCTTCAGAGGTAGTGCTGCCATCATAGATCCTCACCTGGTCGTTAGAAAATCGTTCACCAGACAATCGGATTTCAGTAAAGTTCAGCATCACGTGCCCATTAGGGACTATCACATGATAAACCTGTTCGATGTCTCGTAGGTATGATTCAGGATAATATGGAGAGAGTAGAGTCCCATTGGAGCCTTGGAGGAGTACAGTTCGGTCTTGACAAAGAAATTATATCCGTTAGTCTGTACTATCAATTAAGAGGAATAATTTAACCTAGTTTAACCAAGCAGGCACACCATAACACAAAGCTGCTTCCTGGACCTAGCCCATAGTTGAGAAGCTCGTCTTGGCTCCGAGCTGGCTTTTAACCTATCAAGCAGGCACAACACAGCCCAATGCTGCCTCGTGGCCTATTGAGAGGCTCGTCTTTGCTCCGAGCTAGCTCCGAGCTGGTTCTTAACCTATTCAGAGGCTTGTCTTGACTGTGACCATGCATGATAGTATAGCGGTTAAATTCTTAATCTTATTCAGAGGCTTGTCTTGACTGTGACCATGCATGATATAGCGGTTAAATGGAAACCTAACCTAAACCTATTGCATCATCTTGGCTCTGAGCCGGTTCTTAATATATTGAGCCGGCTCTTAACCAATCAAGCGTGTTTCACTTAGCTCTAAGCTGCTCTTAACCTCTTGAGCATTCTCAACTGTGCTCCTAACCTATCTAACAGGTTCGACCGACTGACCAGCTATCTGCCTGGCTGACTGACAGATCGACCGATCTACCGAACGACCAATTGAAAAACTGACTGACCGACCGAATGCCCAGCTCTCTGACCGACTGACTAACTTAATACTAGCAAACCTTACCAGAAATAAAGGGCTTGAAACTCAGACGAAAATACACATTTGCTGCATCAGTGCGAACGGTTATCAAGGAAAAAATCGAGTATACCACATTTCTAAAATATTTCGTCTTGCCAGAATCCTCCGAACGAATATTCCCAAGAGATTTGAAACTTGTTAATTCTTTTATCCCTTGTAACACGGCAATGGTGCTGTTCTGAGGAACGTCGATGTTTTTGAAAGTCATTTCTATTGCAGTACGGTAATAAATGTTGAATTCACATGAACGATTCACGGAGGAAAATTGTCCTGATTTATCCAGTGGCACGTATTCCACAAGACATTTATCTACAAACACAAAGTTTATTCATTGGATGCTAGTGTATACAGTATGCGGGTAACAGCAGTGTTTTGAAAATGGTGCCTGAAATTGAAAATGCACGAGGTAAGGTAAGGTGAGGTGAGGTGGGGTGAGGTGAAGTGAGGTTAGGTGAGGTGAGGTGAGGTGGGGTGAGGTGAGGTGAGGTGAGGTAAGGTAAGGTAAGGTAAGGTTCCAAGCAATTATTTTGACTATTAACAAGACAATGAAAACACTACTGTTACCTGAAGATAAAGCTTGATGAGCAAGTTTAAATCGTCGCCCGACCGTTGTCTCATTGTCTGCCGAAGTAAAGACAACGCGAACGGAATCACCTTTCGACGTCAAAGACACTAGCATATTTTCCGTCCCATCGTACCTTGCCATAACACTTCTGTCAGATGGGTCATAAACAGTGACGTCATCTCCGGGAGTTAAAAATAATTCTGAAAATCTGAGGTGAATCACCTTCGTCTTGTCCACGGCTTTGAAGTAAACCTCGCACCTACTGTTGCGAGAAAGATTGGCAGGATAACCAGGCGAAGAGAAACCACTCTCGTATTCTTTAGTTACTTTGTAGATGGGACACTTGTCTGTAATAATGGAAATTATTATTTATCGTCATATCAGCTCAATAGCTGACCAAATATCCATGGAGTGTAACATGCTGTAATATTAATTAAACGGGGGTAACGTCACAATGTTACCGGCATACTTCACTAGCCACGGTTGTGTATGTAGCATTTGATTATAGAGATGCATATTTGAGGTAAGAGAATGCGCAACGGGGACCTGCCGTGTGTCTTGGCATGCTTTTGTTGTTGGAAATACTGTCTAGATTGTTTTAAGAATCTTTTCTTTCATATAAATAGTAAACATTTACGATTTATTTAACAGATAACTTAGTAATAAATAATAAATATACATTAGTCGTACTAACCAGCACTGTACGACATGAACCTCAAATCAAACGAGACATTGGCAGTTTGTTCTATCTCAAACCAATTCCCTTGCTTGATACCATCGAAGTTTCTCACAAGTCCAGAATCGTTTGAAGTCAAATTCCAATTCATCCTGATTCTTCCTCTAGAGTCTTTTAGTGCAAGGAGGACGAAGTTTCCTGGAGAAATACGGATTGATTCGAACCATAGCCGCAGCCATGTTTCTTTGTAGGATCTAACAGCGTGCAAACATGGCCTTCCAGCAGACGAAACACGTTGTTCGACTCCTAGATTACCGTCATAATGGTCCTTCACACATTTGCCTGCGTAAGGAGCAAAAAGAAAGCATATGTAGAACCTTTATGATAGCTTTGCTTAGGTTAACAGGCATTAATGTACTGTTATAAAATAGTGAGGTAAGCTGAAGTCGGTATGTTGTGGTATGGTATTGTATAGTATGATATTGTACGGCATTTTTTGGTATGTATTTTTATGGTGTGTTATGACATGATGTGGGATAATATAGTATGGTATGATATATGATACGGAATTGGATTGTAAGGTATAGTATTGTGAGTATGGTATGGTATGGTATGGTATGGTACGGTATGGTATGGTATGGTATGGTATGGTATAGCTTGATGGCAGGGTATATGATATGATACGGTATCTAATTGTATGGTATGGTTTAGTTTGGTTAGGTGAAGATATGGATGGTATGATATGGTATGGTAAAGTGAGGAAAAGCAAAGTATGGTTTCATTGGATAATGAGGTTAAGTGGTTGAGCAATGCAAGATGATATTGTCAATGGTATCAGTGGTATAATATGTTGCGTTTTAACGTCTATTAAAATTTACATGTGGTAACGCAAATCACCTTTCAAAAGTTCCCGGAACACAAATGCATATTTTCTCACAGCTGAAGAAGATGCACTGGTATTAACAACAATTTTCACAGAAGAACTGCTTGGAGGCCCAGTTTCGATACCCTCTAGAGGTCCAGTGAGTGGACCCAATAGAACGCTATTGTCTTCAGCATTGTACACTGCAAGCACGTCCCTGGGGCCAAATGACAAGTCTCGAAAACTTATCTGAATTACATTGTCTTTTGAACAAGCAGCGACGATGTATTCGCAAGTTGAATTAGCTTCATAATTTTTAGGATAACCGCGACTCTGTATCTCTTGTTCGGTGCCAACGAAAGACTTGTACTTAAATTTGCAAGTACCTGTAGCAAAGGATAAAGTTATACGTGACATACGAGACTACAATAACTCAGAAACCAATTACGGCCTTCTAACTGGTCTATTTAGACTACGTTTGGAAATTATGTGACAAAAGCACTTCTAAAGTACTTCTTTTAAGGCTTAGTATTCTATTTTATTCATTGCATACAAAACATAACTAGCACACTATCAAAATTTATTTTCTCACTGCAGTTGACAACTAAATCGTAATTATCATTTCCACTGAAAAATACAAGTGATACAACATCGAAATCAGAATCAGACATACCTTCCGGAACTCTTCTATAATGTAGTTTCACTCCTTTGTAACTATCGCTTACATTTGTCGGCTTGCTAATAAAGATTGCAGTGCTGTGACTCTTAGAATACAGAACCAGTGATTCAGGGCAGAGCTGAGCCACATTTAAGAACTTGGCCGCACCTGCAGGACTATATATGTCGAGTCCAACAACGGCATTGCCTGGCAGACTGACATTCTCAAAAGTCACTTCAATCCTTCCCGAACCGACGTCAATATGGAATATACAAACTGTATACTTCAAACTATTAGGAAAACCGTTTGTGGTTAGTACACCTTGTGTAGTGTTGAAGCGTTCATTGCAGTCTCCTGAAAATCAATTGCAAATGATAAGTGGAGGTATGCTAGCCATTCGGCTGAGAGCTAAGCCGAATTGCAAAGGACAAGGCTTTCTAAGGGAGTCTCTAGCGGCCACCGTATGACCCATGTCTGAACACCGAGCACATGCAGCTACGGTGGAAGGGTCAGTTTGCGGCTTATCCCATTTTCGGGTGGTCAAAAAACTAAACATTATGCAGAAATTTTATGACTCTCCAGAAAAATTCATCATACGTTGTCCGTTTTTCAAATGTCGAACGTTTAAAGTGCGGAATGTAATGTGAATGAGATAAACTCGATTTGTTGAAGGCCCACTAACCGCCCACGGTCAAACCATCAACTAGAGTCAAACGAAGGATGAGAGTTTATGAGAGTAAGCAGTCACGACTGAATAGACCTTATGCATAATGACGTCAGAGGGCTTGATGCCCGCGAGGAATGCTGGTCTTAGTAGTCATCGCTCGGGAAAATTTCGATAGTGGCCATTTTGAATTGTTTAATTTTCCCGGGCGATGACCATTGGCGATGACCATATGGCGATGACTACCAAGACCAGCATTCCTCGCGGGCATCAAGCCTTGTGACGTCATTATGCATAAGGTCTATTGTTAAGCGCTAGATTAACAAAATACAGGTGTGATGAGTGTTTCAACTATGTTTCAACTAAAATACAATACATGCAGATAGTGTTGGGAAAGCATCGAGAACAGCTAACTAAGATCGCGTGATTCCAACTCTCATGCACTCTCGCGCGTCAGTCGTCCTCCGTCAGTTTGATCCGGGCTTTATAGTAGATCGGCATATGAAAAGTTCATATATACTTAATTCTATAAGGCAATAAAGAGTAAATGAACTGGTTATAAATGAAACTGTATTGTACAATGATTCTTTTGACATAACAAAAAAACATATCTCATGCAGCGGTTTGAAATGGTAAATTGTGTGCTTCGAAATAATAGATATAGAATGCATACTTGATCATCACGAATCAACTAGGTCTCCACTTTTAATTTTCTCATGTGTGCCCTTATGAGTCCACTTGCATGTTGAATTTCACTAAGAGTGAAAACAACAAAGTATTAAGGCCTGACTCCACGGGCGCTTTTTCTCGACGAAATGCGAAACATTTATTTGCAATTTGAGCAAAGGCTTATGTTCCGGCTATATATGCTTTGAAACTCGTCATTTTGTGGAGACAAAATGTTTGACTGAGATCAATACTATACTTCTTACCTTCCACAAACAACATTTGAACACCAACTATTGTGCAGGCAAGGCATATTTGGAGAATTCGACTCATTTTAATCCTTAAAATTAAATAAAAAACATGACTTGTTTGCAGGTTTCTACATTTAAGAGTTGAGACTAGTTGTGTACTAATGAAATAGTGAAATGCAAACACGTCAATTCTTGACGTATAGACTAAAGTATACCGCTTTTAATCAAGGCCACATATTAGTTAGCGTCCATCCATTTTGATTTTATAGGGGCTGATTACATGGAGAGTTTTCAGCCCGGGGTGAGTTTCAGCCCGGTTAAAGTTAAACGAGCTGAAATTGCATCACGATTACATGCATATATGAGCAGTTTGAGCCCAGACTGAGTGTAGTCAGAGCTATATTTATAGTCAACCCGGACTGAAGTAATCTGAGTGTCACGAAATAGGACAATAAGCCTGTTACGCTTCTTTGAAGCAATCAGACGCCGATTAATCAGACTATTTGACTTGTGTGAGACTGTGTTTGTCGTTATATGTAAAGTATTTAATTAAACACGCAAAATAAAGCCATTTAAACGGTTGTTTTTTTTAGCTCAAACCGGGCTGAAATTTCAGCCCGGGCTGGAATTTTAGTCATGTAATCGCTTGCTGTGTTTTATTAGAAACTTATCCTTTAGGCCAGGCAATTCCAGCTTTTAGTTTATGCGTGCAGGGGATGATGCGAAGTAAGGTATCATATTGCTGATTATGCTGAAAATTTTCAATAAAAACTGCCAAAACAACCGAAATATTTCAATATTTACAACTATAAGCTATCTAGTCTGCGAACAGGCTCTCAAGTTGAACTATCACACCGTGTTTACAAGGCCACCATTTTTATTTTTTCAGCATAATCAGCAATATGATACCTTACTTCCCATCATCCCCTGCACGCATACTCTAGAAGCTGGAATTGCCCAGCCTCGTACCCAGGCGCAAATAACGTACTAAAAATAGCAACTCTACAGTGTTTTTATATAGATAGACCACTGATCTATATAAAAATACTGTAGTGTCGCTATTTTTAGTACGTTATTTGCGCCTGGGTACGAGGCTGGGAATTGCCTATTTCACGGCTATTTCAGCCCGGGAAACCTCTCCATGTAATCAGCCCCTTAGTCTTGGTCGAGCAGGATATTTTTATTTTTGTTACATGTTTGATGTTTCACCTTACCGAAACAGGTTATATAATTATACTGTATCTTAACCAAGGTTTTTAAGCACCTCAACATCTTGTGCGTTTTCAGTCGGCTATAAAATCCTTGCCCAACTTTTTGCTCTATAGTTTATACGAACAGTGGTTAATGGTTATAATATCACAAAAGATCGACACTTCCAACCTCGTTTCCAACGTTGAAAATAACTGTGCGGGGCCAGAACTAAAAAATCTTACAGTAGCTCTCAGGCTCAGCTGCAGACTATGCCGCAGATGCTTATCACAGTAAAGAATAATACTTATTCTTCTCATTATATGTAGAAGTCTTGCATTTATCATTATAGGCAAATAAAGCATGGAATTGAGATTAAGTAGAAACACGTAGAATTCGCTTACCACTATCAGTCCTATGACTATGTCACTTATGTTCCCTTGAGGTAAAGTGAGTATAGACATAAATGAAGCGAATATATTGACCCTTTGACTCTTGTTATTAATAAAACTTGACTATACAAAAGTTCACATCATTACATATAGACTCAAAATACCAACAAAGCGCGGTGTCATTTAAATATACAGAACACGAAATTATTAGTTTTAGGATTATCGCGTACACAAAACTTTCAATGTTAATTTATTCCGCACGCAATATTGGGTAATATTTGTACAGGCGAAATTAAATCTCGCTGACTCACGACAGCAGCACTTTAATACGATAGCAGCACTTATGATTTGTAGACATTTCCTTACAAAATTACATTATAATATAGCTATGTACTAAGGCCTAAGCGAAATATTTTGATCGCAACATAAAACTGTATTATTAATCAACAGACGTTTAATGTATTATATTTACTGTCGTAATACCAGTCATGTTTTTGAATAAATACTCAATGACAATGCAAGTCGGATCAAATATCATGCATGCATTTCTGTTGATCATCGACAATCGTGTGATTTCGATTATTTTTCAAGTAAAAACGTATCCCATTCGATAGAAAATTGTCAGATATGTACACTCTTGCCTAAGCAAGCATGTTAGGCTGTAAATCTATTTGGAAAAAATGTGTCAAACTCACCTTAAATAAATAAAGCTGTGTGAATTCCGCCCTCGGCGTAGTCGTATGAAGCGACAGGTTTCAGGCCAGCGGTCAAGGTACCAATGTAAATTAAATACTTCATACATTCTCAAATTCGGAGATTAAATATGGCGGCTAATGTCCGCCATCGTACTTAGTAAATTAATCATTAGTAAATGTTGAACAACGTTTAACCATGTTTAATGAAGACATGCCGGCTTGCTGCATGCCACACATTCTTTGTCTCTTGAAGCTTTCAAAATATCACATGGCTTTCGATTTAATATGATATGCCAATGGCCATGAAATTAGAACTGAAAAACAAGTACGATCGTACTATAGTGGTCAGGAACTGCGTGCCCCGGTGCCCGAGTTCCGATCTTGTGCAAATCGTTAAACGTTCAACAGGGTTCGTACAAAACTTGAAAGTCCTTGAATGTCCTTGAATTTGAAAACAAAAATTCAAGGCCTTGAATGTCCTTGAATTTGTAAAGACTAGTACTTGAATGTCCTTGAATTCTTCTTGCTTTAGTTTTTGGATATTTTCTGAAATTGTTTGACATTCAAGACGGACATTTTGTTGAACTGATTTTGCATGTTCATATCTGACCTCATTATAAAGTTACGTTTTGAACAATTTAACGTCAGATTTTGCTGATTTCCAACGCCTTCTTCAGTATTTAGTCCTTGAATTTGTTGATACATGGCCTTGAATGTCCTTGAGAAGTCCTTGAATTTAACTCTTCCTGACATGTACGGCGCTCTGGTTCAAGACCTTCGAGATTTTGACTTGATAAACAAAAAATAAATAATCTAAACTACTGCTACGTTTTCCAGTATGCTGTAGCAAGTATGCTATTTCATCCCCGCTGAGTCCTGGCTTCATCGAGTCTTCATATCAAACTGCACGATTGTGCTAACAATTGACATTTCTTAACTTTGTTTTTACGGTTCGCGATTTTCTATGACTATGAATATTATATGATATCCAGATAGGAGTATCATTCCTCTGCGCTTGAGTTGAGAAACTAAGCCAGCGTGTTAAATTTAGTCAAACTTAGCGCTTATAACTTATCAATCGCGATGTAATTATCGATAATTAGTCAATTCACATTCGTGAGAAGCTTTACTCCTTTAGACTATTGTGATTGTGTTCACAACAATAGAGCAGACAATGTCTTTCTTATCGTTTGCGTTTGCTGATATATTTGCTGAATATCAATGATATGTACTTTTATGTAGCCTGTATATTATTTGCTGCGAATACAGCCTCAAGAATTGCTTGTATCTTTCTTTTAAAGTCACAAATGAAAAATGGAACACCGGCGTCAATCGATGCGGGAATATTGCTTAGAATAATTATGTCAAGTTTCATTCCGATCGGACAAGTAACGGACAGAGCCTTAGGGTTTTTTCAAAGAGCGTCGCCTCCTAACAAAAAGATGATGATGATTAGCAGAGATTGGAGACGTACCAGTTCCAAAAATCGGTGAATCGCCGACAATGACTTACCAGTTTTATATTCATTGTACGGTTTGTATTTTACAGAAATATACATACTAGTTTGCCTTACGAGATGTATTTCCGTGAATTTCTTATATTTTTCAGGTAATCGCATCCCCTACCAATGCTCATGGCCGTAGAAACTACGGGGCAGGAGGGGCTTGAGCCCCCCTAATCGTTAGAAGCAGAGGGCTGAGCCCCCTAAAAATTCTAATTTCTAAGTGAATCTCGAAGTAAATGCACAGTTGCACACGTTTAATACACATGGCGCAGAGATGTATGGCGCAGAAGAAGATTGAATCTTTCTTTTCCCTAGCTCTATGGCAAATCTAACGCCTAAATGCAGGAAAACGTGTTTCAGAAAGTTGAAACTATCAAACATTTTCCTTGGAGGCATGCCCCTGGACCCACCTAGCGGCGGTTCGCGCCCGCTGTTCAGCCCCCCTAACTCTAATCATCTTCCCACGGCCCTGCCAATGCCATTATAACAGCCATCTCTCGCAAGCCTTTCTTCGTCCGAACTGAGTGACCCAATGCCCGCCAATGGCAATGAATCTTCCTGTTCCTCACGGGGACACACGTCAGGACTAGGAACCACTTGGCAGTGAGCACAAGCACAGAATAAGAAATAATTCATCTCGCAAAACAAAATTAAACCGCATGATTATTCAGTATTCACAAGCGCGACCAGGTTTTTAAACCTCCAATATTTGATTGCCTTTTTACCTATGAACTCAGTGTTTGTCTTTTTGGGGAATTGTTTAAATGCTGAGAATGTTGACCCATTTCACATAAGTTTTATATGAGTCCAGCGAGAATCGAACCCACGATCTCAGTGAAAGGCGCTTGCTCCGACGAGTTCGCCCCCGCTCTAAAGGCCGTTCTCCACTAGACGGAATTTTGCGCGCGGAGCGGAATTTCTCTTTGTCTTTTCTAATTAGTTCCACCCGAGAAATCACAAGACAAAGAAAAATTCCGCTCCGCGCGCAAAATTCCGCCTAGTGGAAAGAAAAATTCCACTCCGCGCGCAAAAATCCGCCTAGTGGAAAACTGGCTTAAAGCCTGTTTTCCATTAGGCGGAATTTTCCACGCGGTGCGGAATTTTTCTCTGTCTTGTGATTTCTCGGGTGGAACTAATTAGAAAAGACAAAGAAAAATTCCGCTCCGCGCCCAAAATTCCGCCTAGTGGAAAACAGGCTTTAGAGATTGCGCCACCCCTGAGACCTTATTCGCATAATTATATATTTGTTGGCATATACATTCAGCAAATCAGTCATACAGTAATGTTTGTCTGACTTTTAGAAATTCAAAAATATTTATTAAAATGAATGGCAAATTACATTTATTACAAACATTCAATTATACAATATCGTTGAAAAATATGTTAACTATTAAATAGTTTTGAGAATTGTAAAAATATTGCATACAATAGGAGGGCATCACTTAAGTTAAGAGCTTAATTCTATACAACCTTCTACATTTTTAATACGTTTATGGTGATAATTACAATCAGTGCCTATCAGAGAAATTCGGGGGCCCGGGGCAAATTTTTGTTCCGGGGCCCCTATTTTTCCCGAATATGTTGGCGAGCGGGGGGAGAGGGGGAAGAAAATTTTTTTCCGGACATTAAAAAAACGGTCGAAATTATTTTTTTTAATTTTGCAAATTTGGGGGCCCCCTTAAACTGGGGGCCCGGAGCAAATTGCCCCCCAGTGCCCTCCCCCCTCTGAAAGGCCCTGATTACAATTATATTGTTGTGAATTATTTAGTTTTTATTCAGTACTACAACTGTGAATTTCATAAAACGTTTGCAATGAACTATTTTACATTGACGTCATTGCATTGCCGAAATTGCATTTCGTGACAATTGAAGAAAATTTACATATTTGAAATAGATTGTTTCACTTCATCTATATAATAGATTATTTCACTTCATCATATAAAAGCGATATGGAAGGTATTTGGCATCTGACTGGTTTCCGCTTTCCGGCAGCGTATCCAACCAAACTAATTTCATCTTGTGACTTTTAGTATTGCACAAAGTTGACCGATATTTGGATATATTCAGTCATATTATATTTATTCAAAGTTTGCGTATTCGCTGAAAGCATTAAGGTACGTCATTATGGCAGTGTAACAGAACTGATATTGTTCCTAAAGAAAAAAATAATTCAGTTTTGTTATTATTCAAGTTTACATAGCGTCGGCTGGATCTAAGGATAAAAATTTTTCGTTTTGTGAAACACTTACACAACATGTTTGGCAAAACTGTTGATACCTGGATTTTCATCAAGACTAGATCTTAATTCATGCACAACCTGGTCTTCATCAGCAAATATATTAATTATAGGCTTAGCTTTTAACAATTTTTCAATAATGCACACTTCAGAGAATGAGTACATAAAGAGGAGCGCAGAATGAGAGCCTGGGTTCGAGGTTGTTTTTAGCTGCGATTGTTGCAATTTATAACCGACGGTATTACGATATTGTATTTTATGCATGTACTTACGGCATTTTCGACAAATTGTGGTCGTGTTCCTCTAATGATTTTTATGGCTTGGAAGACATCCATTGCTTGTTCAATTTTCATTCGTTCAAGAAGGTTTGAAATGGCAATGTATGTTCCTGTACGTCCTGCTCCATCACTGAAATACAAATTGAAAAGATGGAACCATATATTTCATGCAATTTTTAAAATAAAGCACATACAATTCACAATTGTCATGTGGTGAGGCAAAAAACACCTTGAATTTCATTTTCTCGAATATTATTTATTTATTCATTTTGTCACACACATAAAAGATATA